AGTATCAAAATTCCAGCTGCAAAATTTCTACAACAAAGTGACATCCTGGTGACGCAAACAGAGGCAATCGTAACTCGATCGAGTCGACACCTCACTGGTGTCACGTGTTCATTGAAGCGTAATTTGATTGAATAAAGAAAATCAAGCGAGATTACTTTTGATTGGGTCAACAGGAGGTCACTTCAGTGGTTGAATTTTTTTTTATTTGAAATTCTGTTGTTTAATTTTGGCTGATAAAATATTTACAAATTAAATCTTTGCTGATGTACTTTCATTTAAACAATTCATAAAACATAATTTTACAGAATAAAAATTCATTGTCAAAAAAAAAGTCAAATTCTGATGAGGCTGAATTTCTTCCATACAAGATTGCTTTTATTGGTGTTAAAATTCTGATTAGAAAGAAGAAGTTACACCTAAGGATGCATTTGATGCACCTAAAGTCTTTCATTAAAATACACCTTTTTTAGAACATTACTCACATATTAGAAATATCCATCTTTCTTCCACTGTGTCAGTTTTCTATGTTTCATTTTCATTTCTCGACAAACACCAAGTGACTCCTGATGTCCTCCATTCACACAGTATTTCCCACAGGCATGTGTACGTAGACACCCCGTGAACTGGCGCTGCCTACTGGAGCTGCCATAGTGGCCGGCCGCCATCTTAGATGGGTCTCCATTTGCCCACAATGCATTCATTTCTACTGAGGAAGGTGCTTACCCAACTACAAAAACACGTTTTATCAAGCTTTTTCACAAAGTCGGACACATGGTATGGCATGATAATTAAAATATACATATAATTAAACAAAATAAATGAAAGGAAATTGAAATAGAAATTCCCATCAGGTAGGCTAGAAAAGTCTACAGTAATCCCATGTGATCTTTTCAAAACCTGTGTTTGTTGTTGCGACCGCAGGCTGCACAAAACAGGAATAGTTGTATCTCTGCATTGACTTTGGAGAGTGAGGAGACCCATCCAATATGTGGTTCCTGAGCCTTTAGATGGTCTCTCAGTCTGAGTTGTATTACTGACATGAATAGACCTTTTGCACCATATTCCAGTTTTAGTGTTTCACCTAGGGATGAGTACCGAATTCGGTACTTTTTAAGGTACCGACCGAATTCCATAGAACCGACCGAACACCGATTCACGTCATTTCAAACGGTGCCTCGTTTCGGTACTGCCAAGACAGTTGCGCATGCGCAAGAGCGTTATGTCGCCGGTCCCTGCGAGCCCGTTGTAAACAGAGCAAGCATGGTAGAAAGAACGCACGCTAAAGCTTGGGTCCACTTCACTAAATGTGATGGGTAACTGGGTGATGAAACTAGCGACAGACAACGATCTAAGTGAGACATCCTCATCTTAATCTGCTCCAGTAGGTAAATAAAATGTTTAAGATAACGTTACCTTGATTTGTTAGCTTCAGGTTAGCTTCCGTTTCGCTAATGGTGCGTTCGCTTTCTCCTCGGAACTCCGTATTTCCGACTAGAAGAACATGAACGCGCTCTAAAGTTTGGCTTTACTTTACTAAATGCGACGGGTGATTGGGTGAAGGTAAAACCAGTGACAACGATCTAAGTTTGAGGCATCATCGTTTTAATCTGCTCCAGCAGCTAAATAAACTGTTAAAGATAACGTTAGCTTGATATGTTAGCTTCCATTGCCACCATTGTTATCAGCTAATGGTGCGTTCGCTTTCTCCTCGGAAATTCTAACTTCCCAGTAGGAAAAATCAAATGAAAAAGGACGGCAAAAGGAATGAAGATACACAGTAAATTTAGTTCACAGTAAAGATGTTTGCTTCAGTTTAACTATCAGCTTATAAAACTACAAGGACGATGTTAAAATACAAACTTGTATGTTATTTATCGTGATATTTATCAAATATGGTTATATATTGAGAAAAATATATATTTAATTATAAAAGAGAATTAAAATAATAAACACTCAAAAGTATCGAAAATTGGTACCGTTAAGTACCGGTATCGACTCGTAGGTACCGGGAATTAGTACCGGATCGATTCAAATGTCAAAGGTACCCATCCCTAGTTTCACCTGTACAGCATAATGTAAGATCTGTGATCCGTAGAGAGAACAGCTACGTGCTTTGGCATATAAACATATGCTGGCTTAACACAAGGACAACATGCAGGTTACATGAGTATAAAACATGTTTGGTTACAGGAGACAGAACTGTAGCTTAAAATTTAAACACTGGAGTAAAGAAGACATGCAAGGATGATGTGATTTTTATTGACTATGTGTGGTCTAAAGGCGACGATGCATTTTTGCATTCACTCCCATATTTTATGTTGTACAATAATGTAATGTAGTAATGCTACACAAATGTAGCATTTTTATTGGAAATTTGAGGTCAGATTTAATAAGTGTGACATTTTGTGCATACTGTTGATGAGCTGCAGTTTTAAAATGTTTCACTCATTGGTAATAATTTTACAACAGCTTCCTGCTTCAGGAGCCCTGGTAGCAATAAATTCAATCTGTCAGCAAGCTTATCTGATCAACCAGAACCCATTTCTGTGTTTTTTAAACACATGTCACTCAAAGTGCTATCAACAAACAGGTAAAACACCATTTTTACAGAAATGGTAATTATAATGGCAGACATACAATATGACGATCACGTTTACAACCAGAGTTCTGAGTGGAGGATGATGATTAGGACCAGATAACAGCAAAGGCAGGATTCATATGTGGGGACAAATCTGCAGCTGGAGTTAAGTAGAAACTGAAAATATATCTCTCTCATATAAGCTCTTTCATATATTATTATAAGCTCTTTTATATGATTAAATATGTATCTCTCACTTTTGCCCCTTATATATTATCATAAATACATTATTATATGCCTTTTCATGGAATCTTGTTATAATATCAAAGACCTCTCTGTGCCTTTTCTGCTCAAGCTGAACAGCTGCATAAGGGAGTGAAAGCGTTCCTTCCTTCAGTTCCTCAATACAAGAACAACTGTCTTTGTTAGCAAAGGATGTTGCAGGATGTGTCCTGATCATCTCAAGGTTGCATGTCCTTGGGATGAATTGGTCTTTCATTAACAAGGCTATTAGCTGACGTGCGTCTGCAGGTGCAGATGGCAGAATTACGTGTGTGGCAAACTACGTATGTAACATTCCTGTAATCTTCAATAAAAATCAGCCGTTTTCAGCAGAACGGCGAGAGTCTGTCCGAAGCATCTGGCAAGAGCAGGTCGCGGGACTTGCTGCAGAGACTCTCCCCCTCATGAGCGGTGAAACAGTGAATGGACTTCTGATCATTTGTCTCCACGTTCTGTCAACTTAAAAGGTGTTTAACTCCATCTTCTCCGTACCCGTGCTTGGTCTAGCAGAAGAAAGACCAACAAATTTGGCGTCACGAACAGGATTTTTTCTTTTTGAAGAAAAAGGAGTTTTTGGAGGACAATTTGACCAACCGACCCAGTGAACGATCTTGGCACAGAACACCGCGGTGGAAAACAAGGTGAGCAGAACCTTATTTTCTAAAATCTGCTCATTGGATTTATCCAAAGTCTTTGTGTCCAGAATCATAGTAGCTGTGGTCCTAAAATAATAGTTGGAGAAGAAAGTGGAGACAAGTGCAGAAAGAATAAGAGATTTTTCTGTAATGGTTTAATGGTGAAATGAAATGAGGATTTTCTAATGGTTTAATGAGTAAATGAGAAAAGGAAATAGTACAGAAATAGGGGTTGGAGGCCCAGAGCATTAATAAGCTCTAAATTCCATAGGGGTTGGAGGCCCAGAGCATTAATAAGCTCTAAATTCCATTTAAAGAAGGGTTGGAGGCCCAGAGCATTAATAAGCTCTAAATTCCATTTAAAGAAGGGTTGGAGGCCCAGGACAAGGTCCTAAATTCCATTTTCCAGGTCGTGGCTGACCACACTATTTGCTGACGAGCGGATAGAATATATAACGAGGTTATATAATGCTTGGCTGGATCCATAGGTGTGGGAACCCTAAAAGTCCACAGGTCAAGGACCTGGTTTTATGTTAAGGGAAGGGGAGGCTAAAGAGAGCTCCCTGGATTTTAAGGTCAAGGACCTGGTTTTGTGTTAAGGGAAGGGGAGGCTAAAGAGAGCTCCCTGGATTTTTAAGGTCAAGGACCTTTTGCATGAGATGAGAAAAATGTTCTGAGGTAACTGTTTTTGCATAAGATGATAAATGTTTTGACTGCTTCTGTGTGAAGAGAGCAGTGCTTTTGGCTATTTCTGCGTGCTTTTGGCTGTTTTTGCATAAAATGAGCAATGTTTAAATATGACAAGCAGCCCAGTTGAAGCCACGAGAAATAAGGTTTTATTGAGAAAGTCAGCGGAAGAGGCGATGAAGAAAAAAGGGGTAGATGTTAACAGTAGAGGTAACTGGAGAAAGATTTGGGAAGTGAAGGCTGCAGAATCGAGAGAAAAAAAAAAAAAAGGCACAGCTGTAGACAAGCTTCCTGTGTGTGTAAGCTGAGTTCAGCCTGTGTGTGTGAGGCGCAGCAAGAGGCTGCTTACGGCTCTGGATTGAAAGTGCAGCACTAGGAGAGTGCAGAATGCAGAGCAGAGTTTTGGGAGCTCCATGTGTGTGCGTGTGAGTGTACAGCGCTGGGTGTGTGTGTGAAGGCCTGATGCGGTACCAGAAAATAAATAAATAAGATAAATAAGAGCTTTAAAAAGTTGCAACTCGTCTATGTAAATTACACTGCAGTGCTAAAATTAATGTTTGGAGCTACGCAAAATTCAAATTCTGCAACCCTGTTCTGATCAGTCTTTGAACAGAACACCATAAGTTAATAAATAAAAGGTTTTTAAAGTAACATATGCATATGTATGTGTGTATGTATGTATATGTGTATACATATATACATATGTAGTGTAGAAGCGTGATAATCATTTGTGTGTGGGGCAGCATGTGAGTGACCCCGATCTGGGGGTTAAGTGACCTGGAGATGAAAAAAGGGAAAAAACCACCAAGAAACGCAAGTAAGGATGTAAATGACAGCTTTATTTTAGAAATATAGTCATATAGCTGCTAAACAGTAAAATCAAAACAGATCTGCAGAAAATAAATATATAAACTATTCCTCAGAGCGCTCTCAAAAAAATTGCAATTGGATTTGCTCTAATGTTACATAAGGCCTGCTTAAAAGCATAGTAAGCATTAAATTCTGAAAATAACCAGTGCAGTGTTAAATAAATTCTGTGCTTAAAATATTATATATATAGAGAGAGAGAATAAATAAGTGACGAACTGACTTACTTTAAAAAAAAAAAGACTGTGACAAACAAAGAATGTCGTCTGTGCCATGTGAATGAGTGGATGCGTGTCTTCTTGCATGAGCTGCTTTCGCTGGATCTTCTGAATGACTCAGTTTTTAATAGAGGGAGCAGCTGCTTGAGAAACAGGGTGCGGTCCATGTTTTTGCTAGACGGTTATTTAGTTCAAGAGACTGTGGAAACAATAGAAAAAGAATTTATCGTTAGTGTGAGGACAAGAAAATCCCTTAAAATACAAAAGTTGTATGGTCGTGGTTATAAAGGAAGTATTTTGTCTGATTATGGGCCGTGGAGTCAGCTGGACTCCCTCGCTCTCACAGTTTTTCTGTGTAACATGCAGTTTTAAGCCATTTGTGACTTTAGAAAGGATATTTTTCGGTGTTTTGGACGTACCTTAAGGCTTCTGGTTAGGGTATTCAGGAGATCCTTCCTCTCGGGCAGATCTAGTGAGAATGACTGGAGTTTCAGCCTGGGGACCTGACTCCACCCACTTTTACACACAGGAGTTCCGCAGTCTAAAAATAGCACAGGGTGCTGCGAAAAGCAGCTCTGAACCTCTCAGGATCATCTTTATGAAAACCATAAAATTAACAAATAATCAGTAAGGAAATAAAATATTTGTTAAATCTTGCTATAAAACAAAATCCAATAATTGTCTTGCCTCAACTTTAAGAACCATTAACGTTAATGGCTGGATTTTGGGACGCTGAATAATGAAAAAACAGATAAACTAAGTATTATTTCCTGTAACCTGGCTAGAAACTGTACTAGGCTGTTTTGAGTTAAAAACTGGTAGTTATTTTCCCAAAATAAAATAGATAAATAAAAAATGAAAGGAGGGATCTTGCATTTGGGATAGATTGTGCCTAAAGTTTAAAACCTGTGTAGAACCGATTTGACGATTCAGAAAAATTGTGCATAGGAAGTAGTCTAGATTTACCTTTGAGTCAATAAAGTCGACTAAATATTAGAAACCATCGTTGATTTTGATTTGTAAAAGAGAAAGTTCTGTCATTTTAACTCAATCAACATATTTAAGGAAAACGTTTGCTGTGCATTGTGGCAGGCATGAACTTTACTGGGTGGGCCTGTCACAACCAGCTGCAAAGAATGTTTGGCTCTGACTTCTATACAAAGAGAACCTGGAAGCCCTCACCAAAGAGAACCTGGAAGCCCTCACCAAAAGCTGTGACTCATAACATAAAGACGGGGAGCACTACAAGATGGACAAAGAGGCAGAAACTTATTTGCCCTGCTGCTGATGAAACAAAGTACAAAAGGGGGAGCATGTGTGCTAACATGTGAACTTCAATCAATGACGGTGGTCATCCTGGACTTACAAAGAGAGGCTCAAAAGAGACTGTTTCCTATGGTTACACCCAGTAAAAGATTGCTTGCTGCAGTCAGGTAATGAACAAGGCTTTTTGGCAACAACCAGTTGAATTGATGAAATGTCAGAACTGTGGAAAATTTACTAAACTACTGTAGAACATAGTTAACTGAGAAAGTTAGCCTAAAAAAAAAAAAAAAAAAAAAAAAAAAGATAATAATAATAACAATAAATAAATAAATAATAGGATTAGTAACCTGGATTTCAGCCCAACTCATCATTGGACGTCAATATAATCTTTATTGTCTTAGGATTCTCAGCTGCAGCGGACATGCAGTAAAGCCTTATTTTCTTTTCAAAAAGTCATTCATCGGCGTCATCACTTATCTTCATTAGTTAAGGAAACGGTGTCTATTTATAAGTCTAGGAGAACGCTTTAGGCTTCAACAGTTTTCTCCTTCGAGCAAACATGCGCAAATTTCCGGACAGTTTATAGTAACGTTCCATCCCATTCCATTCATTGCATAAAAATAAACATTAAATGAATAATTTGGCATTCAGCTGACTAAATGATTCATGGAACATCTCATCCGAGACAATAGTGAGGTAGAAAATAATGTTACAAGATATTGAATAAATGGTACCCCTCATTCGATAAAAATTATGTTCACATTTTTTATCTTGTGAAATCTTTAACATAATATTTTTAATTGGCCTTTTTGACGACAAATTGGCTAACAAGTCTTTAGGATTATCATCGCAGGATGGCATGATAAATAAATAAATAACATAAATAAATAAATAGATAAAAATAAGAGAGAAAAAGCAAAATTAATTAAATGAAACGTAATAGTCATAAAACGTTAAATTGATCTAAAATCTGTCATTCAGTGCCACTGGAAAAAGGAAGAGGATAGGGGAGTATTTCTTAGCACAAATCACGTTATTGATTTAGCAATGCAGCTTAATTTCAGATGCTTTAAGGATGATACTAACTTGTGTTATAGATGGAGAAGTAGCACAGAAACACACTTCTAGATGTGGAGATAAAAAAAAAACTGCTGATTACCAATACTATGCACAAACAAACCTGTAACTGCAGTTTCGTTATTTACAAATTAACCTTAAGTAGTGAATTAATTCTTAGGATTTCTTGTGCTAAGTGAGGTTCTTAAAAAAAATAAAATAAAGAAGGTAAGAAAGACAAGTAGTTTAGGTAAGGGACAACCTGAAACTTTTTGGTTGAATTGATAGTAAAGTGATTGTCCTAATTTCTAATTGGAGAGATCACATCGCAACGTGAGTTTAGAACAGCAGTTATGGGAAGTTTTGTTGGATTAATTTGATTACACGCTTTAGGTCTTATTTTTTCTTTCCACTGATTTAGCGTTAGGTTAAGTATTTCACACTTTCGCTTCAGTCTGACATTTGCTTGGTGTGTGAGGGCACAGAGACGTGTATGGACCGTGTGTTTGACTGTGTTTGTCTTGTTTGTTTGCTTATTTATCTATATGGGCATGGCCGAGCCTTGAGAAACATCAACAAAGACATTGGACTATTCTGAGTAAATTAACCAATTCAAATTCAAATTCAGGATCCTGAAACAATTTGGTTATAACCTCTAATTGATGAAGGACATCTTAAGAATTCATTATACAAGGCTTCCTCTCCAGTGTTGCCGGAACTGTTATAAAACCCATGCATGGTTGTATATTTTAGTTTGATCATTTATACTCATTGAATTATTGTTGTTTGCTTTATGTTTTAATTTCTTTGCAATTTTTTCTCTGTGACACAGGTGGAGATGCTGGTGGCAAAGTGGATCCCACTCATTTCTTTCTCCCACACACATTCTTACTCTCTCCCTCTCTCTCTGTGTATGTGCATGTGTATGTGTTTGTGTGTCTGTGTGTGTCCATGTCGTGATGTCACTATACCTTTAATTGCGCTTGCTGTTTGTAACTGTATGTGTCTGATGTTGAAGGTATCAGAGGCTAGGGTCAGTAAGAGCTAGGACATTTTTGTGCATAACCTCTAATCCCTAGGCGATCGGTCCGGGGAACTTCTGGTCCGGCCGGAGTGTGAATCTTCCTACCAACTATCTGCCGAGATCAAGGACTGCACAAGCCGAGAAAGCCTTCATTGGACCAAAACTACACACACGAAGATGCTTCGCCTTCGGTGCCAGGCGTCTGGGTCCTGCTAAAAGTCACCAAAAGGAAGTGGACGGAACCAAGGTGGACCGGGCCATACAGGATCACGGAGAGGACATCACACGCTGTCCGGCTGGACGGGAGGAGCCTAACCTGGAAGAGAAGCAGCCGACATCTGCCTGACCAGAAAAAGTACCCAAGGACCAGGACGAGAAGCAGCTGACATCTGCCTAACCAGAAAAAGGATCCAAAAACCAGGAAGAGAAGTAGCTGACTACAGTAGCGTGCCAAGCTACCACCACATCCTGCAGGACGAGAATCGTGACATCATCACCCCCTGCAGCTGCCTGGAGCCAGTGGAGGGACCTCAACAGGGGGAAGAAGTAACCACCCTATGAACATTCTACAAGGGTTATATTTAACACCCTCCATTTATTTTATCTGGGTTCTATTTCACACCCTCATTTATTTTACAAGGGTTATATTTTATACCCTCTACTCATTTTATATTATTACTCATTTACCTGTTTAGTATTAGATATATGTTTGCGCTCATTGCATTTATACAAACTTAATGTACATTCTGATCACTCATTTGTCCTGGCCGGAAGAAGATTCTGAGGGTAACATAATTCAACGAGAATCCTTTCCAATAGTCTGGTATCCAAGTAAACTAAACCGGTTGGCATACAGGGACAGCAGGTTGGGGTTGTGGAACGACAGATACTTTTGCGATTTCACTGACCTGGAAGATTTGGTAACAATAGCAATTTTAGCATATAGTGCGTTCTCTGGTACTGATTACAGCAGCTATAACCCATACAATTTCTTAAATTAACACCTGAATAAGCTTGTTACTTGCGGCTGTTGCTGTATCCCCTGTCTTAGGCAACTAGTCCAGAGATCGATTACCATTGCCATCTCTCCTCCACCTGCTGACCCAATTATCCAGATGCCCTTGTTACTAGCCAATCCTAAAATCTATTTGGGAGGGGAACCCTCTGATGAAAGTGATGACTCTCATGATGAAGAAGATGTTGTTAGAGTGTGAGAATGTTCAGTGATTAATGTAACGACCCTTTCACTAGTTCATTTCTATGCATTTTTTGATTGTTTTGTTTTTATTTTTTTGTTGATCATTGATGTCCTAGGCATGCACACTCTATGCCAACAGGCGTTCGCCCCAAAATTGAGATATGACAAATGGGGGGACATGAGGGAATTTTCCCTATAAACATATGATAATTAGGGTTTTTCGCCCTCATATGGAGTTGCATGCGATCCATACATGTTGTAACATGTTCAGTTGAAAGTATGATCATGTTTTTTGTATTAGTTTACTGCTAGAAAGATGAGTAAATGTAATCTGATTGGTTGTTTGTATTGGTATTTTAAAAACTTTGCTTATTGGATTCTTTTTGATGGAATTTGGTGTTATTGTTTTGATTTCTTATATCTTTATTGAACTCTTAAAAGAGTTCAAAAGGGGGATTGAAAATATATATCTCTCATATAAGCTCTTTCATATATTATTATAAGCTCTTTTATATGATTAAATATGTATCTCTCACTTTTGCCCCTTATATATTATCATAAATACATTATTATATGCCTTTTCATGGAATCTTGTTATAATATCAAAGACCTCTCTGTGCCTTTTCTGCTCAAGCTGAACAGCTGCATAAGGGAGTGAAAGCGTTCCTTCCTTCAGTTCCTCAATACAAGAACAACTGTCTTTGTTAGCAAAGGATGTTGCAGGATGTGTCCTGATCATCTCAAGGTTGCATGTCCTTGGGATGAATTGGTCTTTCATTAACAAGGCTATTAGCTGACGTGCGTCTGCAGGTGCAGATGGCAGAATTACGTGTGTGTATGGCAAACTACGTATGTAACATTCCTGTAATCTTCAATAAAAATCAGCCGTTTTCAGCAGAACGGCGAGAGTCTGTCCGAAGCATCTGGCAAGAGCAGGTCGCGGGACTTGCTGCAGAGACTCTCCCCCTCATGAGCGGTGAAACAGTGAATGGACTTCTGATCATTTGTCTCCACGTTCTGTCAACTTAAAAGGTGTTTAACTCCATCTTCTCCGTACCCGTGCTTGGTCTAGCAGAAGAAAGACCAACAAAACACAAAAATACCCAGTGGCAGCGGATGATTGACACACATGCTTCATACATGAGCAGCTGGATGTTCAGAGATTCAGAAAATACATCCAGCTAAATAAACTAACACGTTTACTTGAATAATTCAGCAGCTGCTGCAAGTAATATATAATATTGTTATTCAATTGCAGCATTTATTGACTTCATCTGGGTTTTGAGAAATTAAATTCAGTAAATGCTTCTTCATGATTATTCACTTAGGTGCTTGCAAGCACAAAATGTGTCCCAAAGAGTGCACTGCATTCATTAAAGCATTCTAAAATGTGCATCTTATTCACCTAAACACACTTTTAGTGTCACTGGTAAGACGGCCAAATAGTTTAACCGGAGGCAGCAGCCGTGGATGTTAGCCTTACCTCTGAATGACATTCACTCTATAGATGTAATCAGTGCACCTGAGATGAAGCTAATTGGATCAATTAAATGGACCAAAGGGTGCTTATTTAGATTTGCTGAAGCAGAGGAGCTTCTTAGTATGAATGCTGTCAGGAAAACTGTATTTATCAACAGAAACTAGCAGGTTAGTGTAAAACAAGAGTTAAAATATGTGATTCTAGTTAAAACCGTCAATGTCAACTCCGGAAAAATGGTGAAATGTTTTAATTTTTTGCATTTTTTTTTTCAAAGCCAGGAGGGCCACAAACTGATGTGGACGGATAGAGATAGACCCCTGCTCTCTGTGAGAAATAATCATTTTAATATAACTAATCAATTAAAAATAAGAGGTGAGGTAATATGGTTCACACCCTCCATATTTTCTGTTTGGTCCACTGTGGTTCAACCTGCAAACTGATGGATTAAATACCGAATCAAGTTTCAAAAAGAACGACTGCTCCACTTTTTTTTATTTAGGCTGTTCAAGTCAAAGAGAGGACAAACTAATATTTTATCCTAAATAAATACTGAAACGATCTATTCTTTTTATATGATGCTTTTAATAATAAAGGAAATTTAAATTCACTTGAATTAATTTTGATTGATGCTGAAATTTACTTCTCAAGCACTCAGAAGTGTTACTCTAAAGATCTTTTTCTGCATTTTTTTTCTTTTTCTTCTCGAAGTGAAAGACTTTTCAAACCATCCATCCATCCATTTTCTGAACCCGCTTGTCCACGAGGGTCGCAGCGGGGGGTATCTCCAGGGGTCAATGGGCAATCAGGCAGGGTACACCCTGGACAGAGAGCCAGTCCATCGCAGGACTTTTCAAACCATTTAAAAATATCTAAAGACATCAAAGCGCTACCAAAACAGCCCCGCACACCTGCATGTGAAGCACTGTTGTGTTTCTCAAGCTTCATCAACGCTGCATTTTTATGAGGAAGTAGTCAAAACAGTTTGATAAATTGTCACATGCTATTATGTAGAATGAATCATCAAAAAGGTACAAAACGACCCCTGATTGTTAGAAAATTGCAGGTTTATTATTGATTATTATAATTTTTGCTGTGATTACAAAGTTTGAGCAAAGCAGACCTGACTGAATTTGGCCAAATTGAGAAAAAAAGAAACAAATGGCTGAAAAAAGAAGGTAAACAGACCAACAGTAAGTCTGTGACAGGAATTGGGGGGGATTGTAACAGCAAGGGAAAAGGTCACAGTCATAATTGGGGCCATTCATCATGGCAGCGTTTTTAAATAAGTGTTATGTGCGATCCATCCACTCATGTATGAGCCGAGGGCTCTGAGAGGCTGATGATAAGAATGTGTGAAGACAGTCCAGCCTGCAGACCTCTTCTGTCCATTCACTGCTGCATAAAGATGCTGTTTAGGGTGTGTGAGCTAGCAGCTAACGTAAAAGACGAGGAAACCACATGGCTGAACAGAACTGCAGTGTCTGCTATTTATTAGATGTTTCTATATTTTTTACGGTAATTTTGCTTTTCCATCTCCTCTGGTTTCAGCTATCTAAGAAAGTCATAATGAACATAATGTTGATGTCAAATTTTCTAAATGACAATTTTCAAACCCCAGCTGACTCTCCAACATTTGACCGTTTAAAACCTAAAATATGAAACTATGTTTCAAATAATAAAATTTTCTAAACAAAAAACATTTTTTGTTATGTTATTTTACCTTCTGCAGAATATTCAAAACACATTCATAGTAACAAGGAAATAAAATTTGTCCATGTCTTCTTTTAACTCTCCACCAGGGGGCAGTAGAAATGTACAGAACATGGCAGGTTTATGATAAAAGCACTAGTCTTCCACTGGATGCGTTGGTGGCGCTTAACATAAGTTCCCTCTGCAAAACGCTGCTGGTCCTGCAAGCAGAGGCGGAACTAGCCTAAATGGCGCCCTGTGCGAGAACCCCCCCCCCCCACCCCCCCCACCCCCACCCACACACACACACACACACACACACACAAGAAAAAAAATTATACCTACAACTTTGTTTCAAATTGTGGGGAGTGTATTATATATAACAACGTTTGCTAACTGAATGCAACATCCAGCTCCTGGCCACCTTCTCACCACTTGTCAAAGTTCTACTGAAATAGTGATGACAACATCTGGCATCGCCTTCATTCCTGGGAAATATAAAAGTAGTTGGCACCTTAGGTCCTCTTCGAACTAGCTCTGTGCGTATGCTGTTGGTAATTGGTGATGGCCACTTGGTTGGGTCTGAAGAAAGAGGCTCATCATCACCTTCAATGGGACTCATTGGTTGATCGTTTTCAGGCTTCTCTATTGACAGAAAACAGAAGCATAACTCAACACATTGCTATGTGGACCATTTCACATATTCTATTAAAATACAATATGTGACATTTAAATTTCTCTAATGTTTGCAGGACACAAACACACACACACACACACAAAACTTACCTGACGTATCTTGTTGGGGAGATGTGGCAGCTGGCTGTCCCTCATCAAGTTCACATTCGGTAAATCCTCTAATACAGGCCCGGGCCTGTATTTGACTCAAGCTCATCAAGCTCCGGGCCTTTATTGGAAGGAGGACCAGAATTAGAGGCAGGCCTCAATTTCTATTTGAGCAAAATGAACGAATGATTCGCTGGTGCTGAAAGAAATAATACTCTGAGGTATTTTTGAATACTTTGTACTTTTATTTGAGTATTTCTCTAACACCAGTACTTTTACTTGTAAATGAGTAATATTTTAGCATTGTAACAGTACTTGTATTTGAGTACAGATTTTCAGAATTCTTTCCACCACTGCTGAAAACTGTAAATGCTCATTTACCCAACCTAACAACGTTCTCACTCGTTGAGACAAGGAAGGACATTTAAATAAAATGATATTTGTTATTTTTTTCTCTTCAGCTGTTAGAGGGCAATATTTTCAGTTCTAGCCCCTCACAAATTGATGCCTTAGTTCATCATGTTAATTCCTCTTTACGTGTGGCATTAGATGATGTAGCCCCTTTAAAAAAGAAGGTAATTAGGGACAGGAAGTTGGCTCCCTGGTTTAACTCTCATTTACGAGCCTTAAAACAAAACTCTAGGAAATTGGAGAGAACATGGCGCTCTACGTACCATGAGGAGGCCTACCTATCCTGGAAAAATAGTCTTGTGCTTTATAAAAATAAGCTTCAACAAACTAGAACTGCTTATTTTTCAGCATTAATTGAGGAGAATAAGCCTAATCCTAAATTTCTTTTCAGTACAGTTGCTAAACTTACACAGAATCATAGCTCTGAGCCATCTATTCCCTTAGCCCTCAGCAGCAATGACTTCATGGGATTTTTTACGAATAAAATTAATTCTATTAGAAACAAAATCTTTAGCATTCTCCCTAATGCGATTTCCTCTTCCTCAGTAAGTGAGGCAGCTTCATAGGTGACTATAGAACCTCATCTGTGCTTGAACCGTTTTGATCCAGTCGAGCTTTCAGAGTTATCAAAAATATTAGCTTCATCTAAACCTTCAACTTGCATTTTGGATCCAATCCCAACCAAATTATTAAAAGATGCATTTCCTTTGGTTACTGCCCCCATTCTAGATACAATCAATCTATCCTTAGTAAATGGGTATGTACCACAAGATTTTAAGGTTGCTGTAATCAAACCTTCACTTAAGAAGCCTTCTCTGGATCCATATGACCCAATGAATTATAGACCAATATCTAACCTTCCATTTTTATCCAAAGTCCTGGAGAAAATAGTGGCCATCCAAGTATGTCAGCATTTAAACACTAATGCTCTGTTTGAGGAATTTCAGTCTGGTTTTAGAGAGTATCACAGCACTGAAACTGCATTAGTGAGAGTTACAAATTATATTCTCATGGCCTCAGATAAGAATCTTGTGTCTGTTCTAGTCTTGTTAGATCTCAGTGCTGCCTTTGACACAGTTGATCACAATGTTCTTTTAGAAAGACTTGAACACGTTGTAGGGATCAAAGGAACAGCGTTGGGCTGGTTTAAATCCTACCTGTCTGACAGATTTCATTTTGTAAACGTACATGACAAATCGTCTTCATACTCCAGGGTTACTTGCGGAGTACCACAGGGTTCAGTGCTTGGACCAATTCTTTTTACTATATATATGCTCCCAATTGGTAAAATCATTAAACAGCATGGGATAAACTTCCACTGTTATGCTGACTATACTCAGTTATATTTATCCATTAACCCTGATGAACCTAATCAGTTAGGTAGATTACAGGCTTCTCTTGAGGACATAAAAAATTGGACGACTCTAAACTTTTTGCTTTTAAATCAAGACAAGACGAAAGTTCTCATCTTTGGACCAGAAATCCAGAAAAGGAAATTGCTTAGCCAATGGCCTGACCTTAATGGCATTACATTAATCTCCGCGAACAAAGCAAGGAACCTTTGGTGTTATCTTTGACCAGGACATGTCATTCAAATCCCAGGTTTCACAAGTTTGTAGGATTTCCTTTTTCCACCTTCGGAATATTGCTATGATTAGAAGCATACTTTCCAGGAGTGATGCTGAAAAACTAGTTCATGCATTTATTACATCAAGACTGGATTACTGTAATTCATTACTCTCAGGAAGTCCACAGAATGTAGTTAAAAGTCTTCAGCTTGTCCAAAATGCTGCAGCTAGAGTTCTGATGAGAATTAAAAAGAGAGATCATATCTCTCCTGTTTTAGCTTCCCTACATTGGCTACCTGTTAAATTCAGAATAGATTTTAAGATCCTTCTTCTCACATATAAAGCTCTTAATAATCAAGGTCCATCATACATCAGTGATCTGATTGTTCCATACGTTCCTAACCGAGCACTTCGCTCTCAGACTTCAGGTCTACTGGTGGTTCCAAGAATATCTAAAATTAGGATGGGAGGCAGATCTTTTAGTTATCAGGCTCCTCTCCTGTGGAACCAACTCCCAGCCTTAGTCCGTGAGGCAGACACTTTGTCTACTTTTAAGAATAGGCTTAAAACATTTTTATTTGATAGGGCCTATGGTTAAAATCTGATGTTAGCCTAAATCTGGACAAGTGGGGGAGTACAGGGAGGTGGAGTGTACAGTCGGTAAAGACGGCTCTCCCTTGCCCTGCCTCCAACACG